CCTGACGAGGTGGCGGCGGCGGCAGTGGCAGTGCCGAAACGCGCCCATGAGTCCAGCATAGCATGCGGGCACAAGCCCGACACTCGCCTGTGCTCCGGGGAGGCTGCGGCACCGCGGGCCCTTTCCCCTAATGCGTGCATCGGTGCGGATCGTATGCGCGCCTCGTCTCCGTCGTCGATGTCGGCGTCGTCATGGTCGTGGTGCGCGTTACTCTGCTCGGGGCTCGTTTCTCTTTTGCAACGACCGCCCACTTAGCGTGCCAGGCATTGCACGCCGCCTGGCTGTCCGTCCGTCCGTCCGTCCGTCTTCCCGGCTCTTTGAGCCACGGTGCTGGGAGATTCTTAGCTCTGGGACGCGTCGGCCGCCGCTACTGTCGCTGTCACCGTCGCCCGAGTCGGCGGCCCTGACGAGGTGGCGGCGGCGGCAGTGGCAGTGCCGAAACGCGCCCAGAGTCCAGCATAGCATGCGGGCACAAGCCCGGAGGCTGCGGCTCCGCGGGCCCTTTCCCCTAATGCGTGCATCGGTGCGGGTCGTCTGCGCGCCTCGTCTCCGTCGTCGTTGTCGACGTCGTCGTGGTCGTGGTGCGCGTTGCTCTGCTCGAAGCTTGTTTCTCTTTTGCAACGACCACCCACTTAGCGTGCCAGGCATTGCACGCCGCCTGGCTGTCCGTCCGTCCGTCCGTCCGTCATCCCGGCTCTTTGAGCCACGGTGCTGAGAGATTCTTAGCTCTGGGACGCGTCGGCCGCCGCTACTGTCGCTGTCACCGTCACCCGAGTCGGTGGCCCTGACGAGGTGGCGGCGGCGGCAGTGGCAGTGCCGAAACGCGCCCAGAGTCCAGCATAGCATGCGGGCACAAGCCCTACTCGCCTGTGCTCTGGGGAGGCTGCGGTTCGCGGGCCCTTTCCCCTAATGCGTGCATCGGTGCGGGTCGTCTGCGCGCCTCGTCTCCGTCGTCGTTGTCGGCGTCGTCGTGGTCGTGGTGCGCGTTGCTCTGCTCGGGGCTCGTTTCTCTTTTGCAACGACCACCCACTTAGCGTGCCAGGCATTGCACGCCGCCTGGCTGTCCGTCCGTCCGTCCGTCCGTCATCCCGGCTCTTTGAGCCACGGTGCTGGACGGTCGTGGTTAATGGTGAAATCAAAAATTTAATTGTGAAACAGAAAGTTTAAAGGTGACATAAAAAACACGAGGTAAAAACACTACGCAGAAAAGAAAAACACACTACGTAAAAACACGACGTAAAAACACGACGTAAAACACTACACAGAAAACAAATCACTACGTAAAAACACTACGCAAAACACACACTACGGAGAAGCATTACGTACGTGAGTACGTCACATCCGCACAGTACGTGTGTGACCAGGGAGGTCTCGTGAGCGGGTGCTCCAGCGGCTGGCGCGGCCCTGCGACGTCCGGACGACGAGGGCATTCTGCGTAGTGTTTTTACGTAGTGTTTTTCGGGGGCGCCCCGAGACGGCAACGCTTCTACGCGGGAACAACACGCCCGAAACCCCACGCAGCAGCATGCCGCGTCGCCCGCGTGTCTCGTTACCGTTGGCCGAAGCCGCGGGGAGTTGCGGATTCGGGCGGAACTGGCGCGAGACGCGGGCGACGAGGGCATTCTGCGTAGTGTTTTTACGTAGTGTTTCCAGGAGCGCCCCGAGCCGGCAAGCAACCACGTAGCAAACAACGACGCCCAAACCCGCGCTGCCCGCGTCTCACGTCACGTTCGCCCAAGGCCACGGGGAGCCGCTGTTTCGAGCGGAATTCGCGCGAGATGCGGGCGACGGGGGCATTCTGTGTAGTATTTTTACGCAGTGCGTGCAGGAGCGCCCCGAGTCGGCGCGCAACCACGCCAACACGCCCAAACCCTTGCGCAGCAGCATGCCGCGTCGCCCGCGTCTTTGGACAGTTTCGCCCGATGCCGTGGGGGGCTGCGGATTCGGGCGGAACTGGCGCGAGACGATGCCCACGAGGGCACTCATTCTGCGTAGTGTGTTTACGTCGTGTTTTCAGGAGCGCCCTGAGTCGGCGCGCTACTACACGGAAACAACACGCCCGAATCCCAACGCAGCGCGTCGCCCGCGTCTCACGTCACGTTCGCCGCAGGAGGCGGGCAGTTGCGGAGGCGTGGAGGGGGGTGGGGGGAATTTGGACCGATATTTGCTAGAACTGGAGTACAGGGAGGAGGAGGAGGAGGAGGAGGAGGAGGAGAAGGAGGAGGAGGAGGAGGAGGAGCAGGATGAGCAGGAGGAGCAGGAGGAGCAGGAGGAGGAGGAGGACGAACTTGGGACTGATATGGAGGAGGAGGAGGGGGAAGAGGAGGAACATTCAAGGACCGATACCAGGTAGCCGCGGATAGGAGTAGGAGTAGGAGGAGAGGGAGGAGGAGGAGGAGGAGGAGGAGGACGCCAATACATTACGCCAATACACTACGCCAATACACTACGCAAACGCATTCAGTACATACACTACGCCAATACACTACGCGAATCCACTACGCCAAAACACTGCGCCAGAAAACATTCACGCGAAAACACTACGCAGATACACCGCGCAAACGCACTACGCAAATACACTACGCCTATACGCTACGCAAACGCACTACGCAAACACTCTACGCAAAAACGCTTCGCAGAAACGCTACGCCTATAAAATACGCAACAACAGTACTCAAAAAAACACTACGCAACAACACTACGAGAGAACACCACGCGATGAACACTACGCAACGAACGCTACGCAAGAAACATTCACGCGAAAACGTTTCGCAAATACACTACGCAAACGCACTACGCAAATACACGACGCAGATACACCTTACGCAAATACGCTACGCCAATACACTACGCAGATACCCCACGCGAATACACTACGCAACACACTACGCAAAAACTCTACGCGAAAACATCACTCGACAAACACTACGCGAGCAACATCCACGCGAAACCACTACGCAAAACCACTACGCAAAATCACTACGCAAAAACACTACGCAGATACAATACGCAAATACACTACGCACATACACTACGCAAACGCACTCAGCACATACACGACGCAAATGCACGACGCAAATACACTACGCCGAAACACTACGCAGATACACTACGCAAGCGCACTCAGCACATACACGACGCGAGTACACGACGCAAAAAAACATTTACGCAAAAACACTACGCAGATGCGCTACGCGAATACACTACGCGAATACACTGCGCAGAAACCACTACGCAAAAACGCTACGCAAATACGCTACGCAAGAAACACTACGCAACAACACTACGCAACATCACCACGCAAACGCACTACGCGAAAACCACTCCGCAAATACACTACGCCAACACACTACGCCAATCCACTACGCAAACGCACTCAGCACATACACGACGCAAATACGCTACGCCAACACATTACGCACACGCACTCAGCACACACACGACGCACATACACGACGCGAATACGCCACGCAAAAACACTACGCAGATGCGCTACGCAAATACACTACGCAGAAACACTACGCCAAAACACACTACGCGAAACCACTACGCGAAACCACTACGCAAAAACACTACGCAAAAACACTACGCGAAAACACTACGCGAAAACGCTACGCAAAAACACTACGCAAAATCACCACGCAAAAGCACTATGCAAAAACACTACGCAAATACACTACGCCAACACACTACGCCAATACACTACGCAAACGCACTCAGCAAATACAAGACGCAATTACACGACGCAAATGCACTACGCAACTACACTACCACAAGACACTACGCAAGCGCACTCAGTACACACACGACGCGAATACACGACGCAAAAACACTACGCACAAACACTACGCACATGCGCTACGGGAACACACTACGCAAAATCACTACGCAAAAGCACTATGCAAAAACACTACGCAAATACACTACGCCAACACACTACGCCAATACACTACGCAAACGCACTCAGCACATACAAGACGCAATTACACGACGCAAGTGCACTACGCAACTACACTACCACAAGACACTACGCAAGCGCACTCAGCACACACACGACGCGAATACACGACGCAAAAACACTACGCAGATGCGCTACGGGAACACACTACGCGAAAACACTACGCTAAAAAACACTGCCCAAATACACTACGCAAAAGCACTACGCGAAAAACACTACGCACATACACTACGCAACATCACTACGCGAAACCACTACGCAAAAACACTACGCAAATACACTACGCCAACACACTACGCCAACACACGACTCAAACGCACTCAGCACATAAACGACGCAAATACACGCCGCAAATCCACTACGCAAATACACTACGCAAACGCACTCAGCACACACACGACGCGAGTACGCGACGCAAAAACACTACGCAAAAACACTACGCAGATGCGCTACGCATACACACACACACACACACACTACGCGAAAACACTGCGCAATCAAATACTACGCAAATACACTACGCGACAAAACACTACGCGAAAAATACTACGCAAAAACACGACGCAAAAACACTACGCAAAATCACTACGCAGATTTATTTCACCCTTAGGCATACCTCTCCGGTGCTGAAAGATTCTTAGCTCTGGGACGCGTCGGCCGCCGCTACTGTCGCTGTCACCGTCGCCCCAGTCGGTGGCCCTGACGAGGTGGCTGCGGCGGCAGTGGCAGTGCCGAAACGCGCCCAGAGTCCAGCATAGCATGCGGGCACAAGCCCTACTCGCCTGTGCTCCGGGGAGGCTGCGGCTCCGCGGGCCCTTTCCCCTAATGCGTGCATCGGTGCGGATCGTCTGCGCGCCTCGTCTCCGTCGTCGTTGTCGGCGTCGTCGTGGTCGTGGTGCGCGTTGCTCTGCTCGGGGCTCGTTTCTCTGATGCAGAGGCTCTCCCCAGCTCGGAGGCACGAGGTGCCACGCGGGACGGCCTGCCGTGCCCCTTCGAGCAGTCGCCACCCAGAGTGATGGGCTGGCACGATGGCGGGGCTTGCCGCAGGCAGCTGGATGCAAAGAGGAAACTCACTGCCATCGCCGCCCAATTCTTGACTGAGACGGAAAACGGAAAAGACGACGTCATACAAGCTATCTGAAACCGTGAGCTGTATGCTCAACTCTCTTTTCATCTCGCTCACGATGGACGGAAACCGCTGCAACCTCAAAGGTGTTGCATCGTCACAGAAGACTTCGTCCAAGTTCGCTTGCAAATCAGCTGACAGATTTTTCACACTCTTTTGGCACATCTTAAGCAAATCGACTCGACACTGGGACAATGAATGAGACTTCTGACGCGAAACGCTAGAACGACAAGGACACTGACTGAAACCTGCTGTGTTGAAGCCCTGGTGTTGCTTGAGCATGTGCTCCCACAATGTCTGCTGGAGGCGTTCTTTCTCCTTTGTTTGTATCGCCTGCGCCTGTTCTTCATAAACGCCCGTCAAAGTTAACAATCGCTCGCCAATTTTTTCAGACAAGCGTTGCAATTGATCGTCATCCAACACCTGGTCTGTATCCAATATGCCATTTGCTACGGGTAGCCCTAGCTCTGCATGCTTCCGCTTCACATCTGCTCGGTTGGACAGCAAGCATGCGACCACATTTGGGACCATGTCGTTCAACATCTTCTCCTTGTAAAGCACGCGGACGCGGGACAATATCTCGACTACACCATGACCTCTTAGACCCATAGCTTCAAGCTGTTCCACCTCGCGCCTTTCCCCATGGTACAACCGAACCATTGGCGACTCGTTCGCTTGAAGCTCCGTGTAAGGATTTGCAGTACCTATGAAGCCATGCGGTTTCAGTTGAGCTTTTGGAGGTTCGGCACTGCCTTTCAGAATATCGATCAGACGTGGATCCATCTGATGGATCTCGTCCATTTTCGTCAGGACGCCAATGCAACGGTCTTCGATACCCTGAGGGTGGACAAGCGCGTAAGCAACTGACAGATGCGGCTCCAGCGAAGCCTGCCCTACTAGCAAGAACACAGAATTCTCTTTGTAGCGGCGTATGTACTCCCGTGCGAGCGCATTGGTGGCCGTAGCCGCATCAGCAGGTGCTGCAACAAGGCCTGGCAAGTCGATCATATTGATGGGCGGTAAGACAGGGGAAGTTACAACAATCTCCAATTCCTTGTCAGTCACATATCCATTGTCTGTACCACAAACCATTTTGTTCATTGTATCTCGAATCCTCTCTTCACTGTCGTCTTGCCTTAACATAATTGGGCCTTCGATCTTGGTCTTCGTCTCACGCTCAACAATCGAAAGCACGATCCCCACTTGAGAACCTCCCCGGCGCACCTGCACGCGAATTGGCATTCGAGTGCACACATTGGGGGCGCGGGGAAAGACGGGTAGTTTCAACAAACGTTCCAGCAGTGTGGACTTGCCACTGCTCTCCAAACCCAGCACAACGACATGTGGCGGCGTCCAGCCGTCTATCACTTGTGCAACCCTCGGCTGAACACTATCGAGCATGGCAACCAAGTCCTCTAGCTGCTGCATGCTTGCGTTCAGGCGCTTTGACTCATGAGGCAGATCTACGATATCATGTCGAAACTGACTCATATCCGCAACCGTGCCTGCAGCACGGCAAGTGTGCTTCAGGTCTCTATTCCTCAGAATATGTTCCCACTGCGAAGAGCCAATCGACCCCCCAGACTGGGAAGACAAGGTACTGATACCGCTACTCTCTGGACCTCTCCCGGGGTGCGTTCTGACCAGAACTTCGAAGCGAATCCAGCGGTGGCGACGAAAGCCTCCCAGGAGGCCCAAAAAGCCGAAAAGAGCGAAGGGTAGCAAGGTGAGCGCCTCTTCTTCATCTGAATTTTTAGCACCAGGACTCACTCTTCTTTGGCTTCGGATGCCAACATCGTTCCCTTTACACATGCCGCCCGCGAAGACCCTCTGGCCCAGGAGTCCTCCCCGGACTCCCCTGGAGGGCATTGCTTGCCTCCAGACGCCACCAGAACTCCTCAGGCGAGGCCCAATACGGCCCACGACTGGCTCCAGGCGGTCTCGTGCAAACAGCCCTGGGACCCCACAAGCTCATCCGGGGCCCCCACACAGCACTCCAGGAGCTCCACTGGCGGCCAGAAGCTTTAAAATCACAATAAAATGGTACTAATTAGGTTGACCAGCGAGGACCCCAAACAGTGTAACTGTAGCAGCATGCTGTGTGCAATCGACATGGGGCAATCTACGTAGTACGTCTACGTGGTGCAATGTATGCTTTGCAACCTACGCGGTGCAATGTGGGTCGCGTAGTAGATATATGTGTATATATATGTTATAAATATGTTTACAACTATGCACATGTATAATGTGTAATCTGCGCGGTGCAATCAGTGGGGCACCCTACGTGGCGCAATACATGTGGTGCAGTTAGTTGATGTTCGAACTGAGTTGTGACCCCAATGCTCACGCCATCGTCCCACCCACCCATCCGCAGCTTGGTTTGCAAAACCGATGCGGCGGCGATTGCGATGAGAGCTTGGTGTTGGCTGGTGCATCTTTGCGGCCGCGCTAGTGCGCACGATCACGCGCACAGCGGCCAGCTAATTTGGCGTGACCGATGCGGCCGCAGTGGCGCTGACCGCTGGGAATTCCCCAGCGGGCACTTCATTGCGAGTCGGCGAGTTGGGCGGGCGCGTTATCATGGCAACATCGACAACGGTAGACACGATGATGACAGTAGCGATGCTGGTGACGAGGGTGACAACGACGGTGGCAAGGCCAATGACGGCGCAAATGCTGATCACGCCGACGTCGATGACGGCGTCCTCGCGTCGATGATGAAGGTTTTGGAAATAGTTCGACATGCGCGCGTGGCCGACGTTCGCGAGTGGCCCGCATGGTGTTTTGACAGGGATCGTGCCCCCCAGCACGCGCGCAAAGGCGTTCGAAATATGTCGACATGCGGCGCGAGAGGCCCGTGTGGCCGAGTTTGATGCACATTTGGGAGGAGTATACTTGTTTCACAAACAGCTGACAGAAACGCGAACGCAAGCCCTCTTGAACACTGATGTTGCAACACCGTGTTTGTATGTTATAAGAACTCGGTTTTGAATCCCTCATGTTTTAGGAACTCGATTTTGACCTCCTTTACGCGACCCACTATGTTTGCCTGATTTCGGCGTACGCGCGCGACGACGCGCGTGCGTGCACATCGTCCCGTTTTCTGCAAGGGGGTCTTGCGACAGCACGCGCGCAAATGGCGCTCGAACAATTTCGACATGCCGCACTAGAGGCACGTTCGGTAGCGTTTGATGAGCATGCTGGGAACATATATGTTTCTTAGCAAACCACTAGAGCGCGAGCGCATGTTTCGTGTGGTGCATGTTCCTGTTGCGAAATCATGTCTTTTAATTCCGAAGCCGTAGATTTTGATATCCTGACGAAGCCAATCATTTCTGAATGAGTTTGGCACTCGCGCGACTAAGCGCGCGTGTGCACCTCGTTGACTTTGTTGCAAAAGGTTCTTGGAAACGGCTGGTTTTTGATAAACGAGTGTGCGCGCATGGTGTCTGCTGCAGAGGATGGGGGGGGAGGCGATAAAAGGCCTGCCTAAGATGTTATGAATTTGTTGTTCGGATGGACGGTGGGGCAGAATCAATGCAAACTGCGATACGAAGGACTTATGCGTTAAGTCCAGGGGGGGGTAGACCCGAATACATGTTTAGAGCAGGGAACATACGTGGCGCAGTAGAAGTAGTGCACATGGACGTGGTGCAAAATATGCGGGGCACTATATGTAGCGCAATATATGTATATATATACAAGACTGCAGAGGCGCTTCGCGCCATGCACCTTGGTCCTTGAAGTTTGGTATGCAGGCGGAATGGCAGGAAGGTCAAGCCGACAATTTAGCGATAACTCCTGAAAGCCTTCTGGAGGCCTCCTGGGCGTATTCCGGGGGCCTCCGGGGGCTTGGTCGGGCCACCCTGCCTCCAACCGCCGTCTCCCTGAACGACCGAATCACGATTTGTAATTCTTCGGAGGGTGTCTTTGGGCCATCTTGGGCCGCCATGAGGCTCTCTGAGGGCCATCTTGGACCCGTGTTGTGCCGTTTTGGGGCTCTCTTGGACTGCCTGGAAGCCCTTTCGGATGGTTGTGGGGCGATTTGGGAGCCTCACAGGCGGCTTCGGACGCCCAGAAGACCGCCGTCTTGGAGCGTCGGGAAGCCGAAAAGAGGATAACCCCAAAATTCACCAAAAACCAACAGAAAATAAATTATTTGTTGCCTCGGGGGGCCTTCTTGGGAGTGCTCTTGGAGGCCTCGTTGGGGCCGTCCTGGAGGCCTCTAGGGCCATCTTGAGCTCACATCGGTCACTCTTGGAGCGCTCTTGTGCTGTCTTGGGCGTCTCTGGGACGTCTCCGATGACCCCCCTGATCGCCCTAATTAAGTGTGCTGGGAAGGCTTGGGAAAACGCCTTGCGAGGCCCGGTGGCCGCTTCGAGGCCCGTCCGAAGGGCTCCATAGCCCCAGGTCCCGGGAGTCCGGTTTTTATTGGGGGGGTGATGGGTTTTCCCCCCGCCCGGGCTTATAAACATATAGGAAGAGGAATATATATATATATATATATATATATGTATGTATGTATGTATGTATGTATGTATGTATGTATGTATGTATGTATGTATGTATGTATGTATGTATGTATGTATGTATGTATGTATGTATGTATGTATGTATGTATGTGTGTGTATGTATGTATGTATGTATGTATGTATGTATGTATGTACGTACGTATGTATGTATGTATATATGTATGTATGTGTGTATGTTTGTATGCATGCATGTATGTATGTATGTATGTATGTATGTATGCATGCATGTATGTATGTATGTATTTAAGTATGTATGTATGTATATACATATATATGTGTATATATATATACATATATAAATATATGTATTTTGTGCAGCCTGCGCGGTGCAAACTATGTGGTGCATGTCACTTTGACTGTCTTGAAGCTGTCCTCTCCGCTGCTCGTACAAACATCCCACCATCCCACCCGCAACTTGGCCGCACGACCTCTTAAGACCGTGACGGTAGGTACCACATGGCACTTGGCAACGACACCGACGCCGACGACGACAGCGACAACGACGACGACGACGACGACGCCGACGACGACTACGACAACACCGGTGACAACAACGACGACGACGACGATGACACCGACGACGACGACGCCGACGCCGACGACGACGATGACGACGCCGACGACGACGCCGACGACGACGATGACGACGACGACGAAGACGACGGCGAACGACGACGACGAAGACGACGGCGAACGACGACGACGACGGCGATGACGACGACGACGTCGACGAGGGAGGAGGGAGGACGACGACAGCGACAACGACTACAACGACGAGGGAGGAGGGAGGACGGCGACGACGCGACCGACGAAGAAGGAGGGAGGACGGCGACGACGCGACCGACGAAGAAGGAGGGAGGACGGCGTCGCCGACGAAAACAACAACGAGGGAGGAGGGAAGACGACGACGACGACGACGACGACGGCGACGAAATAGGAAGGACGACGACGATACGCCGACGACGGACGACGACGAAGACGACGAGGGAGGAGGAAGGACGACCACGGCGACAACGACGACTGAAACGACGACGACGCCAAAGAGGACGACGACGACGAGGAGGAACGACAGAGGACGACGACGGCGACGACGACGACGACGAGGGAGGAGGGAGGACGGCGACGACGATGCGGACGACGACGCAAGAGCGCGCGCGCACGCCTTTGTTGAAAGTCCGTGTTGCGAAACCCACACACGATTCCAACACCGAAGGTTTTTGGAAGGATTTCGGCATGCGCGCGCCGACGCGCGCGCGCGCGTGCACTTCGCCCCGTTTTTTGCAAGGGATTCTCGCGACGGCGCGCGCGCGCGAGGGCGTTCGAACGATTTCGACATGCGCGCGACAAAGACCCGTTTGGTAGTTGTTGTTCTGAAAATGTTGAAGAACCTATGGTTTTCTCCAGATGTTGCAAAAGCGCGCGCAAGCTTTTGTAGACAATCCGTGTTGCGAAACCATGAGTTTGTATGTTGCCTGTTTGGAAATCAATGTGTATGCATTTCCGAAACCAGAATTGTTTGAAGGATTTCGGCATGCAACGCGACGGCGCCCGCGTGTGCAATTCGTGCCGTTTTTGCTAGGGGTTCAGGACAACTTATGACTGTTGATAAACGAATGTGCGCGCATAGTTTCTGTTGCAGAGGATGGCGGGGGGGCGATACCAGCCCCCCTGAGAATGTAAATCCGCCGACCCTGTCGGCGTGTGTGAGGGGCTTTTCCGTTCGACTCGTCGTCTCCGTCGTCTCCGTTCTCCCCCTCCCAGGGCTCTCCTCCTCAAGCGCGCTATCCAAAGCGAAATTAAACGACGTCATAGTGGAGTCGAAGGGAAGCCCCTTCCCTTTGATCCCTTCCCCGCAGTGGGGGGGGGGAGGGGAGGGGGGGGGGCCCAGGGCAGATACGACGCCCGCCGGGGCGCACTTTCCTCGAGCGGGCACGCACGTGATTGCACTTCCTCA